AAACTAGGATATAGCACAGCATCTTTATAAATGATGTCAATTACTCTAATTATCCCACAAGACCACTAACCTGAGCCTTCAAACCTAGTAAATCAATCTAATGAGGTATTTGGGTATGTCTAAGAAGTATTTGTAACTGTGCCCCCATGTGCTTTATTGCATACATGAATATGTAGAGACCTACTGATATATGTATATACATATGTCTACAAATATACCTAGATATGCATGTTCATGTATTTCCATATAATTTCCCACATCCATATAGCACACATAACTACCTATGTAAACAATTACATAATTTTTTGCTTGCTATTACAGTTGTGGAAAAATTATGTATTTACACTATTTGATGTAGTTGTCCTTTATTCCTTCATAGATTTCAGTGACATTTACTTTGTTCAAATTGTTCTGAAATCCCTCATACAGTGTATCAATTTTCCCAGCACCAGGATTGCCATACACCTAGGAGCCCTGGCCATACAGAGAGCTAAGCACTGGGACACAGATTGTGAGGTCAGTGGTGCAAACCCACCAGGGACATGAGAAAGCGGAGGCCTTCCACTCCTGTAAAGATTGTACTTCAAAAACCTGATGGAACAGTTCTACTCTCTCCCATAGGGTCACCAAGAATTGGAATTGACTTGATCACAGGAGGTTTGGTTGGTTGACTGTCTAAGACATTGCAGAGGGCCGTCAAAGACCATTACTTCTGTGGGGATCCACAGTCTTGACTGTGTACAAAAGTGGTATCATGCAGTACCTGTCCTCTTGTGATGGACTTATTTCGCTCAGCTTGATGTCCTCTAGATCCATCATGTTACTTTTCATGGGCTCACCCTTACTAGTTTTCTTTGTATGGTGTTCTATTGTGTGTATGGAATTTGTTGATCCACAATTTCTTGTCCATTCAGCCATCGATGCACACTTGGGTCTATCCTTGCACTCGTCCATCAAAGCATTGCTTTGAAGTCTTCAATTTTTCCTCATCCTGTTTTCTCGAACCAAGATCACCTTTGTTCTTCATTCTCGAATGTGCGTCTTTCACCTTCATCTGTAACTGAACCCAACTTTTTAGAACTTTCTTCTAAGCCTATCTGCTTAAACCTTAAAAGCAACCGATGAAGTATAATACTATTCCACCTTTCTTGTGTCTTCTCTATTTAAACTAGGAAGTTTTTTAAGACTAAAACAATTGAGATAAATTGTATATACTGTAAATGTTAATGCTCAGAGTCTAATAAATCAGGTAAAAAGAACCAATTCAGTGTAAAGTCACACTTTACAATTTTTAAAAGAATTATTAGTATAGCTATTCACTTTTTTTCTTGTAACTTAAGAGTCTCAGGAGATGATTTAGTGAACCATAGTGAAAATGCATCATTTGTTTGGATGATGACTCCAGTGTCTCTAAGGAAAATAAAATACAGAAACTAAAAGGTAAAGACTTATTTGAGACATTCCATAAATTAAGCTGCTTGTCTATAATGTAATATGAGGGAAAAATCGTAGAGGAGGTCATAGCAATGAAAGCCAGTCATCGTAATCTTCTGTCCGACACTGGCCTTCTTCAGATGAGTTTCTCTTGATCATTGATTGTCATTTATCAGCTCACTCCTCTTTTTTTTTCAACTCCCTCATTGCTCTCAGTCAATCAGCCAGTCATCAATCAATCAATTACTAAACACTTTTTAATGTGCCAGGCCCTGAAGACATCCAGATAAAAAGCAGAGGTACTGATCATCAGGAGCAGGTTTGACAGTCTGGAGGGTGAGCTACACAAGGAAAGAAGCAATTATAATGCAATGAGGGTTCCAGGAGAGTGAGGCAACCCAGAAGAAAGAGGATTCAGAGGCAAGAGACGATCATGTCCAAGCTGTCTTCGTGAGAGAGAAAGAAGATGAAATGGTATCCACAAAATCCCAGGAACTTCTAGCAGAACATGCACTAGGAGAGCCAGCAACAGGAGAGCGAAATGTGATCGAGAGAATCTTGAGAGATAAACCAGGGTCATTTGGGATCGTAATTTCTTGTACATAGTCAAGGTCCAATAATACTTGCTTTCATTGGTGATAATTCCACAATCACCAAATTGTAATTTAAACTCAGAGATATCTAAGTTTGTCTAAGGAAAAAATAGCTCTTTTCAGTCCAAGTTTTGTGTGGTTAAATAGAGTAATTATCCATGGATGAGATCATTACTGGAAAACTGTCGTCAACACAACAGTCTAGCAAGTCACACAATATACATTTCCTAATATCATGCACCTGTGTAAAGGTATTTTGATCTAGAACCCTAGCCATATGCTCAAAATAATAATACCATCATTCAAAAGAAAGATGTGACAATTTTCCAAAGAATTCTATTGCTCATTTTTAATTTTTAATGCTTAATTGCAACTGTTGAAGAATATAACCCAAGAAGCATCCCAAATAAAATTGAGTTTTTCTAGATGGAATAACTATGTCTAGCTATCAACTGAAGCTGGATGGCAGACAGACGGCTATTACTCTCTTGACATGTTCCCTTCAACTTTTGCTAGGAAACTGCTTTGCTTAAAAATGTTTATTAATAGCTACAATGTGTATTGCAGTTTTAGCTATAAAATTAGCACTTTAACGGTCTATTCCTTCAGAGTTCACTGTTGCAAAACTTTTGCAGGTACTTTATTTTGTACTGATTCCAATCACTTGCCATGCTATTGAATTACATGATAGCTTGAACTCTTAGAGATCTAAAGAAATATTTGAACATATACTTACGTATATATAAAGAACTATTTAAAACTAAAATATGGCAGCACCACACCTAATTTCTTTTGCTTTGTTACCAAAAAGTCTCAAAAATTATTTCACAAACAAATTGCTTTCCTAACTTAAGGAAAAATAAAAATATTTATTAGCACATCTGCATTTCAAAGCTTTGTTCTGAACTCTTCAACATAACTGAGCCGAGGAAAGTAACATACATTATATTAGAGTTGGGGTCTTATTTTTAATATCTCATCTCCTTAGCAAGAACCATTTTTTCATGTTTACTTAGATACTGTAGCTTTCTGTTTACTAGGGCATAACAACAGTTTTACCAATATCATGAATTGTACTGTCTTTTTTTTTTTTTTTAAAGGCAAAATAGAGCATGCTTTGCTTTGCTTTATACTTCTTTTCGAAGCTGGGAAGTAGATAGAGTGGAGTAAAAAGTGGAATCTATTTTCCTTTCCCAACTCTAAGACCTTCTATCTGGGCCAGACTTTGATATTTGCCCCTTGGCTGAGAATCCGCATATCCAACTTCACACTTAGCTGCAGTGAAGTAGCCCTGCAGGCAGGCCGACTTCAACGAACCACTAGTGGTATCATCATTAAAATCCTGCTGAAGGTCACCATGGTAACCGCCCGCTGAGGCTTCGCTGCTGCACCCGGCATCTCCTAATCAGCTACCATGTGAAATGCAAATTCAGACAGTCTGAAAATTAGTCAAGAAGAATCGGGGATGAGGATGCAGATATGTGAAATATTCATGCGCTTCGTGGAAAAAAGAAGACAGCATGAATGACACAACAAAGAACGGCCCCTGACATTCTTGCTATCATTTTGCATTATTGTTCACACCCGACTGTATTTCCAGGCCCACAGTTCTGAAGTTGGTTTTGTGAAATGCCATATTTATATCTGAGACCCAAAATAGTAATTAAAAATGGCTAACATAATAGCATTAACATCAAATGCAGATAATGCTTCTAAATTATCATCACTGCCTTCTAAGAGTTTATTCTAATTACCTGAATACAAATGCTATTAAGCAAAAAACAAAACCAAAACAACCGAGCACCATTGGTTATCGGTATCACAGCTGCCCTGAAGAGAAGGTACTTAGCTGTGTTCTCAGCCCGCATGTGCTTGACGTATGGTAATCAGTTGTTGAAGGTATTTGTAATGTTATCACACCGACCCAATTGTCCTTACACGAAACTGCTATTCTGTCCACCACAGAAATATGGATGAGGCTACTAATAACTGAACATTAGCATTGTTTTACACTGTTCATTTGCTCTTTTCCATTCTCCTTGGGCAACAAGAGCTGCTGCTCGGGAGATGAGAGGTCCTAACTCAAGACCGTGCGGCTCTGTGGAGACCCTGTATGAGTGCTGCAAAGAGAGCTATGGGAACACGTTTCATTGATCCGAGAGGCACTGCTGTTCTGCATATAGACGCTTTAAGTCTTGATAAAATCATGAGGCATTAGGCTGCAATGGGAGATGTTTTATTCAATGAAAAGCTGGATGTTTGGCAGAGTGCAAATGACTCATTTCAATGGGTTACTAAAACAAGCAAGGATTCAGGCTCAGATCTTAATGAGGTAAAGTCTTGAAAATTTCAATCCCATCCAGTATACTTTTTAGGTTGTCTACAATGACAACCACAAAATGTTTCCCTACAGGAATCTGACTGTAGCAGTGAGGCGGTGATAGGATGGATATTATCAAAGGAGGGAGGGCAAAGCTAAAGGAGGAAGGTTGAAAGCCAACTGGGCTGAGAGATGTACACATATGCTTCCACTCTTAGAAAACATGGAAGGTCTGTCAAAAAAGGGAACTTAACATTGTGTGCTGGTCTGAGACGGTGAGAAGGAGGAGTTAGCTCCCATTAAGAGGGGCCAACAGACATGCTGATTAACTAGAGCCTGGGTCTGAGCATTAATTCTGCCCTTTGCTAAGTGCAGCGTGCTGTAAAGTCAGCCACCATTCTCATCACACCTAGGAAGGGGCCAGTTTCACACCACATGCTGCGCTGGGTTCCACTCCACATTGTGAATGGCAGAGTCAACTCTCAATAGGCAGTCTCCTGCCGCAGAAGGAAAACAGAGTGCAAAGTGCTATTTCTGCCACCTAGACTAACTACCCATTTACTATTTCAAGAGAAAGTAAAATTTCTTAATAAAACGTCACAAATGTCACAAAATGAACAACAGATGAAGACAGGAAATTGAAAATGACTTACTTCCTCTGAATAGTGATCTGAAGGGAGGGGTGGGTAGTCACACTGCTCTATCTTCTTACACAAGGAGTATAAATTCATTTTGTCACCGTAGAACGGGCTCTGTAGTGCAGCCATCTGTAAAATGTCCCCAATGAAATTGATGTAGTGGCACGGTAACTTTAAAGGTGATTTCAGAAAGTATATTACATTGTGTAGAAAATCACTACAAATACTTTAAATGAAGCTATCTAGGCTACTTTATTTTTATGACTACCCCATTCGGAGAATTATTCAGAAAGTTCCAAAATCTTACTCAGTTGGTTTCCCTAATGTAGGAAAATGGTTAGCATACAATTACTTCTTTATATACAGATCATTGTATGATAATATTAAGCAAAAGAACACAAAATGACAAAACTCTTTTATAAAGAGTATCATAAGAATAAGTAGCATATTTTGTGACTGACAGATGTCACACAGCACAATTTAGGCAAACTACAATCAAAATACAGCAAACGTGAAACAGAAGTAAAACTTGAATTATAACCAGAAATCATTTAAGGAATCCATTGTATTTTACCTTGAATAACTGCTTTGGAGGAAACAATTTAATAAACATAGTTTATTCAGAGGAAAAACATTTCTTCTCAATTCAATTATAAATGACCCTCAAATATGGCTTACGGTGGATTCAAACTTCTTTTCTTTTAGTAATTTGTTGAAAACATCAAATATGCTCAAAAGCTCTATCACAAGTCAGAGCTTCTACTTCGGGGAATCCAAACTCTCTCTCTCTCTCTCTCTCTCTCTCTCTCTCTCTATATATATATATATATATATATATATATATATATATAAAATTTATAAATATATATATAAATATATATAATTTATATATATATAATTTCTTATTCAAATGCAGAAAAACATGACGTGAAACTTTCTTAAAAGGCATTATTGAATTTAGATTTATTTTAAGACAATGTTCTAACTTGGCATTTAAAGTGCAAGCAAGTACCGTGGTAAGCAGGATTACAAACGAAAAAATTCAATTTAAAATGTTCACATCCTGTTCGGAACCTTCTAAGTCTTTGAACCGCAGCAGCAGGAACACAACACGGAGTGCGAGGCTGCCCCCAAGTCAGTCACCCTTTTCTACATGTGCTAATAAGTTTGATTTGGGAAGGACAGTGTGTATATTCCCCAGACAGGCGGAGTGTGTGAGAAACACGCCGGTCCGTGCTGTGCTACTCAGTGAGCTTCAGTGGGGACAGGGCAAGCTGGAAATGGCTCTCATCTGCCTCCTGGAGCTCCAGACACCGCTTTAACTCCTTCACGGCCTCCTCAGGCGGCGCTACAAATCCACAGTGAGCCTCTGTTTTACAGAAAACCGACACAGCCTATGTAAAACAGCCTTAGGAATCTGTCTGTCTCACATGAAGGGTGTGTGTGTAGGGGAGGGGGGTAGTGAAAAACAAATTTGAATGCCCCTATACATATAAATCACACCACCTGAAAGGACATGTCTCAAAGAACTACAACAGAAATCATGTTTCTTGTTAATACAGAGGCAGTTTCTGATACCACAGAATATTAAAAATGCCTTCCCCCCAAATAGACCATATAGCAAAAGTAGGGTCTCGCTGCCGGTGTGCGAAACCCCTATGTACATCTTATTCGTTATCGTATGCGAGGAGTTCATTACAGTACTTTTGTCTCAATACTGCAGTGTTAAAAAAAAAAATCGGAATGTCCCCTAAGGAGTTAAAGAGGAATAGTATATTTTCATGCATCTCCTGTTTTGACAGATGAAAAATGTCAACTGTCCTGTTTTTATTTTCAAGCTTTTGCACTATTCATCTGGTTCATTAGTGCATCTCGATGCTGCCCCTGACAGCTGCTCGCCCTCTCCTCCCAGCGCTGAATTTTTCAGGCTAATTTGATCCTCCACACTGAGACGATCGCGAGAATGATTGACTTGCTCCCTGACCTCCAGGGTCTGACTTCCCTGATTAGTATTCTGGGGGTGTCGGAGGGACGCAAGCCCACTGTCTGTCTTCAGGGCTGGTGGCAGCTCTCTCTTTTTTTGAACTGTAAGCCACCAACCTACAACCCTGTAAGGATGCAATTGCTGCGCTGAACAATAAAGGAAATGTGTAAAACCCACTTTTCCATGTAAAGGTCCGTGTAGCAAAAGCACAGCATCTTGGTTTTAATTAGTAAAGTCTACTTTGTTGCATATCAATTAAAACAGTACTGCTAGTTTTTTTTTAAGGTTTCAAGAATATTTGAAAGTCTAATTTTCTGAGTTTAAAATACAATTTCAAAAAAGGCTTCCTAAGCCTTCATTGTTAATAGTAAATTCTTAATGTCCATAAGATGCTATGGGTGAATTAAAAAAGCACTTAACTACTGGGAATTTCTATTAATCTTATGCTAAAACATAGCTGAAATGACATACAACATAAAGGTGAATTAAATCCTAGTTATTCCAAGTGGCTTGCACGGAGAAATCTAGAAATGCATTGAGATGAAAACTAGTAATAACAGGTAAATACTTTGCTTCAGAACCATCCACGATATATAAGCCTGAGCCTAGGAATATCCAAGGAAATCATTTTTATGTTGTTAATAATTTTATCTTAAGTATATATAAAATGGGCCTGTACCTCTCAAAGGTAAACTCAAAATGTGAAGAATTATTTCGGTTTTGACATGGGAGTCTTCTGGCCCTAAAGGAATTTATGAAAATTTTCTCAATGGGAAGTACTTCAATGGGGCTTTTTGGTTATCGTTGTTATATTTAATCTCATTAGTGAAGACCAATTTGCCATTTAGTTTTCCATATTTAAAGAAGGAAGGCTGTTGCTTTTATATTATTAGACTATAAGCTGAAGGCTATCTAAGGCTACCTAAAAACACATAAAACATTTAAAAATATACAAAGTAACTTAAACACAACAGGTTAAAATAATCAAGTTAATTCTTTTTTACATTATACCAAGCTGTAAAAAAGGTACAATCTATTATAATCTACTGTGCCTATAAAAAGATCTATTTTATAACACAATTTATAATTTTCATAATTAAAAATCTGAATTTATTTAATCACAATAAAAATTCTCTTCAAAATAATGACTAACTTTAGCAGTTGGGGGGAAAAAATAAACATCTCAGGTACCTTCGATTACTGGAATCTGAATCTGCAATTAGTAAAATCTTTAAATAAGATCAGGATACAGTTCTAAGAAACAAACTTCTGATGCTCTTCTTCCAACTAATGATGAGTTAATTAAAATGTGACTTTATTATAATTTTCATTTAAGTCAGAAGTACAAAGAACTTAAAATTTAGAAAAGAAAATAGTTTACTACACTACTGACTTCAAATTTCCTTTGTGTGCATTAAAACATAAAAATGATTCTATATACTATCTTCCATCATATCTTACATTATTAAATGACATACTTAGATTTTTTAATAACTGCTTTGATTCAATGCTTATGTTTCTAGGAAAACTACGATTCAATTAAAAAACAAATGTCAGTAATTCACAAAATTGAGATACTCCTGGATAACATTACCCAATCACCTGGATGAAAAATGTGTTTGCAACATGCTTTTCTCTATTAATCTAAATGGCTGCATGGCAGTCTGGGCTAGAGAATAGCCACACGCGTCCATCTTACTTTGATCAACTGCCACCAACACAGCAGCGGTGCAGGTCACTGAGACTTACCACTCCACAGTGACAAAAACTAAGCAGCGCAATAACCGAGAAGAGTTTACACACTGTCTTCAAGGCTCAATGAAACCTTTAGAAAAATGAAATGAAGTACTAACAAAGGTATTTATTGTGCTTTCTTAGTTCTAAAGCCACACATTAATTTTAATCTCTTGTTCAATACATAGATAAGCATGCTTTATGGCTATCTGAATACAAATTTTATAAATGAAATCTGCTGAAAGGCTTCTATTGTAATAAAAGTTAACATTTTAAAGAAAAATTTTCCTCAAAAGCATACAATTTCAAAATAAAGTAGAGGAAATAAATGTATCAAAATGTGTACGTGACTACAATCCCTTCATAAAGAGTACCTATTAACCTAATAAATTGATTTTTCATAATAAAAAGGCTAATTCTTGAATATTTCCCAGGGGAAGGAAACATTTATATATTATAATGATAGTGGAAATATATGGCAGTAAATAAAACCACATCAATACATGGAATCTATCAATGTTACCTACCTCATACAGTAGACAGCCAAGAGACCAGATGTCAGATTTGAAGTTGTACCCATTTTCATGTATTCTCTCTGGAGACATGTAATAAGGTGTGCCCACTGGGGAAAAAATAAAACGCGATGTATAAAATTGAAGATGCGGCTGCAGTAATTAAACACAAAATGTTTTATTAAAAAAATAAGATACCAAAATAATTCAGTAGGATAAAATTGTTTCTGAGATACTTAAAACTTTTGGTTTATTCTATACTTCACCATCCATATGGACTGAAATAGTACATTAGCATCTATACAATCTTAAAAGGAGTGTGGTGGATTACGCTTTATTTCCTTATGATCAGTCTAGAAAGCAAAGCTGGAAAAATAAAGAGATTCAAACAAGAAGGCCTACTCAAGTGATTTGTACTGTATTTTTTTTTAACATAACTTACATATCCCAAATAATTAAACAATGTAATGTGTTAAGATGCATAGGAATATATAACAACTTAGTTGGGCAGATATAATTAGACTTACTAACTTGTATAGAAAGATCCATTCGAACATATTCTGTCCCTTATTATTACAAATGATCACCACACAAAAAAAACCAACAAATGATCACCACGCCCGTGCCTTCGGTTCCCCTACTTTATAAAGAATATAATAAACTGTTTGCATCAAAGGGCTAGATCATAACGTTTGTGAAAAGCCATTGGCACCTCTGGAAAAACATCCGAATTACTGCCACTTGTGAGACCTTGTTAGAGACAAGTTATTCTAATTAATTTTTAATTTTGTTTTAGATTTTAAGTGTGATTTTTTTTTCTCTTTTAAAAATTGTCTTTAGAAAAACCTATTATCTATGAAGCATTTGAAGATGTAAAAAGGCATACACATTATATTTGGAAGGGTAAAAACATTTAAGTGAATTTCAAAGTGAATATCTTAAAAATTTCAAACTTAGATGACTATTATTTCACCATCATTTGCCTGAGGCTTATTGCCAAAATAGGAAATCAAAGTTTAGGAACTCCAGTTGCTTGAGGCAAGAGTTTCCAAAATATAAACAGCTGCTGGGAGAGCAGGGGCATTTCCCCTTGTCTGTTATTGCTCAAGGACTCCCCAGGTAAGTTTACGGTAACTCTTAAGGAGATTGCAGTTGACAACGGGAAGCGGATCTTTAGTTAGAGGCAATGTGAAGTTGGATGCGACAATGTAAGCACTTTCCTGAAAGGCAGAAGTCAGTTTTCCAAAACTACGAAGTTGCAACGTAATACAATTGATATCAGAATCCTCTTTTACCAATAATGGATAAACCTAAGCAGAGTGGATGAGGGCGGTATTTTTAAACGTGAAGTAAGAAAACGAGAGAGAGTGACAGACGGGGAGAGAGGGAGGAAACAAATGTGCGAACACAAGGATAAAATAAACTTAATCCATAAATGATACAGACAGAAAAATAAGAAAAACTTCACAAAATAAGTGCTTTCATAGTAGCCTTTACTTTGAAGCGAGACAGGTCAGTTGATCCACTTCAGCAGCAAAGCAAAGAAACTTTTAGAAATAGTAAGGTTTAGAGTATGTGTGTTGTGGCTGGGAAAGGTAAACACGAAAAAGAAGCTCTCTCCCTTTGGGGGTGCTAACCACTTTCATTTGCAGTTTGCAGACGTGCCGCTGATGATCGGAAGTATTTGCGCACGCGTTCCACTAAAGGCAGGCTGGCAGGCATGGCTGGAATAGTAAGAGGTGCTGTGAGCAGGCTCCTGGTTTCAGGACATAAAGTAAGTGACTGGCAGTGAGGAATCCACAGGGGGCAGCTGAAAACACTGAGGTTTGAAGGTTCAGAGTTTACTAAAAGCAGAGGTAATTTTAAGCAGTAGCTGTGGGAAACCTGCTGATACATTAAGGTTTGATATGAGTGTGAAAGATGGATGATAGAGAAAAAGAAGAACAAATGCTAGCATTTTACAGAGATTAGCCCCAGCAGAACACCCTAAGTGCAACACACACTGACCTCACTGACGACCCACAAGTGGAGGAGCAGAGGAAAAAGATGATTAAGAATTGCACTAAACTGAAAAGGAAAGGAAAAAAAGAATGTACAAAAAAAGCCTGTTTACCTAAGCTAGGGGGGCGGGGGTCATTACAAAAAATTAAGTTATCTCTTCTACCTGAAACTTAGACAGCAGTTCATCTTCATGGGTAACCAACTGTTTTGTACTTAATATGTATATTTTATGGTCATAATTAAACTACATGTATCTAGCACAGATATGTATCAAAACAGCGATCTAAATATTCAACTTTTTGATCGACCTATGTGAGTAACTACATATTTTGCACTAAAATTAGCAATTGGATAAATTCATAATTAAGTGCTTAGCAGGGGAGCAAATGGAGGTTCGAATGCCTCCCTCACACGGGTTCTGTGAAGTACACCTCAGTCTGGACAAGAGCATGCCCACTGACTGACACTGTGCAGCCGGGTTCAGCCCTGTCCCATGGACGGACTCATCCTTTTCTCTACCTAGGAGAAAGGCCTAGAAGTTTGAGCCCTCAGAACATCTGAAATGCTAACTGCCAATGGAGCTATGTGTTTGCACTGAGTCAAAAGTAATGGATGCGCAGTACCTAAAAACCTTACACACACACACACACACACACACACACACACACACGACAGCTATATCTATTATTATTGCTGCTGCAAGAATGTTGTGACTTCTTTTAATAGCTGTACAAGAAAAGGGACAGTTGTGGAGTGATAGGATCAGACATAATTGATCATGAAAATCATTATGTATTGAGAAGTGTGAAGAATGCAGGTTGTAGAATTCCACTCTCTCTCAAGAGTTTATGGTTGTCGCTAAAAGTGGGAAGGTGGCTTGCAACAGACAGGCATTTGTGTCCTTTGAAACCTCCCACCTTGATTACTGGTGGCGTAGTGGGTGCACATTGGTTGGGTTGCTGATGCCAAGAGCGGGGTTCCAAACCACCAGGTGAGGCTTTTGGCTCCTGTTAAGATTGACGGCCTCAGATGTCCGCAGGGACCATGCTACTTTGTCCTCAGGGTAGAACTATGAGCCTGAATCGATTAGATGGCAGTGAGTTTGGTTTGGGTTTAGGTAACACGAGTAAGAGACGCAGAATAGGAAACTGATAATATTATAAAGTGCCTATTAGAGGCAAAGTCCAAATGACTGAAAATGCTGTCTGACTTCACCTTGACTGACATTAATTTTATCATTAGGTATACTAGAGGAGCCAGTCAAATGCTAACAACCAAAAAAGCCCCACATTTTTCATTACATTAGTTGCCTTATTCCAGCTATATGAGCAATGTTTTACAGGGTAGGTGCTCTATAAGCAATGAATACATGCTAAGATGTATCCTAAATAAAACAAAGGCTCCCTGTGCCGCGTATGGCCTCCTCTCTGGGGGACGGGCGCAGCGGGGTGGGTGAGGGGAGGCGCCGGACAGTGTAATGTAAGATACAAAAATAATTTATAAATTATTAAGGGTGCATGGGGGAAAGGGGAGGAGGAAGGGAAGGTGGGGGGGAAGGAAAATGAGAATTTTGGGAATGATGAGGGCAACAAATGTATAGATGTGCTTTACACAATTGATCTATGTATTGTGATGAATTGTATGAGCCCCAATAAATTGATTAATTAAAAAAAAAAAGATGTACCTAAAAACTAAAGTGTTAAAAATGATTTGTACAACTTTTCTTTATAAATTCTATGACTATATTTATAATTACATGATGAGTTCTATTGAATTCTATGTGAATTAAATGCCAGTAAAACTTTAAAATAACTAAATGTTGGTGGGGAAAAATGAATACATTATATCCAACAAACATGTATTGAGATAACCATGTGACCCCCCTGGGAATAAACATAAGAAGAGTTAAGAGTAAAAAAAAACAAAACAAAACAAAAAAAAAAAACAAAGGCACATTTTTCTAAGAAAGCCAATAAATCCTGGAGCAAGCAATTATGGAAGGTATGACTAATGGACAGCTTGCATCTCAACCAAACAGGCTATACACAGAATTTTTTTTCAACAGTGAGCTAAATATTGAATACTATAGTCCCTGTGTAGACATTAATGATAAATGATAAAAGCTCTGAAGCATCTTTTTCACGGTTAGCTTTGATTGCTCTTGCTTTGGGTTTAGGTCAGGGAACCAGCACAAAGCCACTCAGTGTCCAGGTGTCTGTCACACCACTCAGCTTTGCCGTCCTGAAGCTGGGTCTGCCAAGGCCTTTCACTTTCCTCATCTCTCACGTGAACTGGTGACTAGGATTAGGATGCTCTCTGAGATCCCCCCTGCTCTAAAATCCAGTGACACTCGTTACAAAGTCTACAGAAACCCATACGGAAAATGAGACTGGGGAGAAATCATATACTCCATTTGTACACAATTACCTAGCAACGTTGAATGAGTGTTTTAAGTCAGTGCAGACAAGCACAATCCGCTCAGCCATGCTGAGTCGTCCTCTGAAAATTGGCAAAAACTGCAGAAACAACAACACACTAATTTGGAATATTCCTTGCTGGGAAAATTGAAAGGAGTCGAGTTATTTATACCTCAGTGTGATTAAAACAACCCCAACAACTTCAGGGACTAAGAGCTGATTGCCATTCTTCCTTCGTATTCATAATGCAGTCCGGAAACGATGCTGGCTCACTTATGGAGAGATCCCATGTTTTGTTTTATTGGAAGGAGCATGATCTGAACGCAGTACAGAATGGCTCAGTGTCCGTCCATACTTCTCCAAAAGATATGTATAGAACGAAACGTGCTCTATTTTAAGTGTGAATAGCAATTTTAAAGAGCTTTAATAATGTCGGTGTGGGGACAGGCGATTGTAGCATTAAACATGGCACTGCGTGTGAATGTGTATCATGCATTCCTGCTGAACTTTTAAGAAATGCTTCCCAAGGCCCTACTGACTGGCATGAGAGCCCTGGTGCCATAGTGGTTGAATGCTCAGCTGCTGACCAAAAGGTCAGCAGGGTGAACCCAGCACCACTCCATCTGAGGAAGACAGAGAGACAGTCTGCTTCCACAAGGACTGCAACCCAAAAGACCCCATGAGCCAGTTCT